CATCTGGAACAACAACCAGTGGAACAACAACATCTGGAACAACAACCAGTGGCACTACCACATCTGGAACAACAACCAGTGGAACAACTTCAACCAGTGGTACAACCACATCAGGGACAACAATAACCAGTGGCACTACCACATCTGGAACAATAACGAGTGGTACTACCACATCTGGAACAACAACCAGTGGAACAACATCAACCAGTGGTACAACCACATCAGGAACAACAACGAGTGGCACTACCACATCAGGAACAACAACGAGTGGCACTACCACATCAGGAGCAGCAACGAGTGGTACCACCACATCTGGAACAACAACCAGTGGAACTACATCAACCAGTGGCACCACCACATCTGGAACAACAACAACGAGTGGCACTACCACATCTGGAACAACAACGAGTGGTACTACCACATCTGGAACCACAACCAGTGGAACAACCACATCTGGAACAACAACCAGCGGAACTACATCAACCAGTGGCACTACCACATCTGGAACAACAACCAGTGGCACTACCACATCTGGAACAACAACCAGTGGAACAACATCAACCAGTGGTACAACCACATCAGGAACAACAACAACGAGTGGCACTGCAACATCAGTAGCAGCAACGAGTGGCACTACCACATCTGGAACAACAAACAGTGGAACTACATCAACCAGTGGTACAACCACATCTGGAACAACAACAACCAGTGGCACTACCACATCTGGAACAACAACCAGTGGCACTACCACATCTGGAACAACAACCAGTGGAACAACATCAACCAGTGGTACAACCACATCAGGGACAACAATAACCAGTGGCACTACCACATCTGGAACAACAACCAGTGGAACAACATCAACCAGTGGTACAACCACATCAGGAACAACAACAACGAGTGGTACTGCCACATCTGGAACAACAACCAGTGGAACAACATCAACCAGTGGTACAACCACATCAGGAACAACAACAACGAGTGGTACTACCACATCTGGAACAACAACCAGTGGAACAACATCAACCAGTGGTACCACCACATCAGGGACAACAACAACCAGTGGCACTACCACATCTGGAACAACAACGAGTGGGACTACCACATCTGAAACAACAACCAGTGGAACAACATCAACTAGTGGTACAACCACATCAGGAACAACAACAACCAGTGGCACTACCACATCTGGAACAACAACGAGTGGTACTACCTCATCTGGAACAACAACCAGTGGAACAACAACATCTGGAACAACAACCAGTGGCACTACCACATCTGGAACAACAACGAGTGGGACTACCACATCTGAAACAACAACCAGTGGAACAACATCAACCAGTGGTACAACCACATCAGGAACAACAACAACCAGTGGCTCTACCACATCTGGAACAACAACGAGTGGTACTACCTCATCTGGAACAACAACCAGTGGAACAACAACATCTGGAACAACAACCAGTGGCACTACCACATCTGGAACAACAACCAGTGGAACAACTTCAACCAGTGGTACAACCACATCAGGGACAACAATAACCAGTGGCACTACCACATCTGGAACAATAACGAGTGGTACTACCACATCTGGAACAACAACCAGTGGAACAACATCAACCAGTGGTACAACCACATCAGGAACAACAACGAGTGGCACTACCACATCAGGAACAACAACGAGTGGCACTACCACATCAGGAGCAGCAACGAGTGGTACCACCACATCTGGAACAACAACCAGTGGAACTACATCAACCAGTGGCACCACCACATCTGGAACAACAACAACGAGTGGCACTACCACATCTGGAACAACAACGAGTGGTACTACCACATCTGGAACCACAACCAGTGGAACAACCACTTCTGGAACAACAACCAGTGGAACTACATCAACCAGTGGCACTACCACATTAGGAACAACAACAACCAGTGGCACTACCACATCTGGAACAACAACGAGTGGCACTACCACATCAGGAGCAGCAACGAGTAGTACCACCACATCTGGAACAACAACCAGTGGAACAACATCAACCAGTGGCACTACCACATCAGGAGCAGCAACGAGTGGTACCACCACATCTGGAACAACAACAAGTGGAACTACATCAACCAGTGGCACTACCACATCTGGAACAACAACAACCAGTGGCACTACCACATCTGGAACAACAACGAGTGGTACTACCACATCTGGAACCACAACCAGTGGAACAACCACATCTGGAACAACAACCAGTGGAACTACATCAACCAGTGGCACTACCGCATCAGGAACAACAACAACCAGTGGAACTACCACATCAGGAACAACAACGAGTGGCACTACCACATCAGGAGCAGCAACGAGTGGTACCACCACATCTGGAACAACAACCAGTGGAACTACATCAACCAGTGGCACCACAACATCTGCAACAACAACAACCAGTGGCACTACCACATCTGGAACAACAACGAGTGGTACTACCTCATCTGGAACAACAACCAGTGGAACAACCACATCTGGAACAACAACCAGTGGCACAACCACACCAGGAACAACAACCAGTGGAACAACATCAACCAGTGGTACAACCACATCAGGGACAACAATAACCAGTGGCACTACCACATCTGGAAAAATAACGAGTGGTACTACCACATCTGGAACAACAACCAGTGGAACAACATCAACCAGTGGTACAACCACATCAGGGACAACAATAACCAGTGGGACTACCACATCTGGAACAATAACGAGTGGTACTACCACATCTGGAACAACAACCAGTGGAACAACATCAACCAGTGGTACAACCACATCTGGAACAACAACAACGAGTGGTACTGCCACATCTGTAACAACAACCAGTGGAACAACATTAAGCAGTGGTACAACCACATCTGGAACAACAACAACAAGTGGTACTACCACATCTGGAACAACAACCAGTGGAACAACATCAACCAGTGGTACAACCACATCAGGAACAACAATAACGAGTGGTACTACGACATCTGGAACAACAACCAGTGGAACAACATCAACCAGTGGTACCACCACATCAGGAACAACAACAACCAGTGGCACTACCACATCTGGAACATCAACGAGTGGCACTACCACATCAGGAACAACTACTAGTGGAACAACATCAACCAGTGGTACAACCACATCAGGGACAACAACAGCCAGTGGCACTACCACATCTAGAACAACAACCAGTGGCACTGCCACGTCTGGAACAACCACGAGTGATACTACCACATCTGGAACAACAACCAGTGGAACAGCATCAACCAGTGGCACTACAACATCTGGAACAACAACCAGTGGCACTACCACATCAGGAACAACAACCAGTGGCACTACCACATCTGGAACAACAACCAGTGGCACTACCACATCAGGTACAACAACCAGTGGAACAACATCAACCAGTGGTACAACCACATCAGGAACAACAACAACCAGTGGCACTACCACATCTGGAACAACAACGAGTGGTACTACCACATCTGGAACAACAACCAGTGGAACAACATCAACCAGTGGCACAACCACATCAGGAACAACAACAACGAGTGGCACTACCACATCTGGAATAACAACGAGTGGTACTACCACATCTGGAACACCAACCAGTGGAACAACATCAACCAGTGGCACAACCACATCAGGAACAACAACAACGAGTGGCACTACCACATCAGGAACAACAACGAGTGGTACTACCACATCTGGAACAACAACCAGTGGCACTACCACATCAGGAACAACAACCAGTGGAACAACATCAACCAGTGGTACAACCACATCAGGAACAACAACAACCAGTGGCACTACAACATCTGGAACAACAACCAGTGGCACTACCACATCAGGAACAACAGCCAGTGGAACAACATCTACCAGTGGTACAACCACATCAGGAACAACAACGAGTGGTACTACCTCATCTGGAACAACAACCAGTGGAACAACATCAACCAGTGGTACAACCACATCGGGAACAAGAACCAGTGGCACTACCACATCTGGAACAACAACCAGTGGAACTACATCAACCAGTGGCACTACCACATCAGGAACAACAACCAGTGGAACAACATCAACCAGTGGTACAACCACATCTGGAACAACAACAACAAGTGGAACCACATCAACCAGTGGTACCACAACATCTGGAACAACAACAACCAGTGGCACTACCACATCAGGAAGTACAACATCTGAAACAACAACCAGTGGAACAACATCAACCAGTGGTACTGCAACAAGTGGCACTACCACATCAGGCACAACAACAAGTGGCACTACTACTTCTGGAACAGCAACAACAACCAGTGGTACTACAACAAGTGGTGCTACCACATCAGGCACAACAACTAGTGGTACTATAAATTAAGGCATTATGAAGCTGCCAATGCTGTCATTTTAGAATATCGTTGGGAGATTGTTGTTCATGTTATTTACCAATAGATATTAAACAATCATATACAACTTATATGACAACATGTTCAAGCAATCAATAACATTTCAAATATACGCTAAGTATATCAGTGTCACGCTTAGTCCCTAAGTTGTACATCTGCTGAACAAAGTAAAGGGGTACATGTCAGTTAAAAAACAAAGAACATTTTCTCCTCCAGGTGTGTTTATTCTGAACATCTATCGTCTTTCATTGATACTGTATAACCGATACCTTTGCTTGAATCCCCCCGAAGGAAATATAATTGTTTTAACTAATTGTAAAGCAAAAAATAAAAGTGTGATAGTGATAAACTGATGATTGCGTTGACTTGTCACTAAAGCGGCAGATTCAATTTCCAATGTCTGGTTGTTAGATTTCTTCCCATCTACTCATTCTTTAACAAAACGCACTTAGACATGTCTAAGTGTTTTGTTGCTCGTCATCGAAATTAAATACATTATCCAATAGCAACAGCAAACATGAAACATACAACCATGTATTATGGTGCTTTAACTGCATGTTTCGTTTATGTTTCAGCCTCTACTAGTGGAACAACAACCAGCGGTACAACAACCAGTGGAACAACAACCAGTGGAACAACAACAAGTAGGTCCAAGAATACATAGTATTACACATTGATCTATCAGGGAGTAGTAGGTACTCCAACCAATCACAAGAGTGATGTGAAATAATTCCTAAGATCATGGCAAGGCTTACTTGCACATCGACGGAAGTAATTTAGTCCGAAACAGTCATGCTTTTGCAAGAGTGAATAGGAACAAAAATACAATAAGTTAATAATTTTAATGATAGCTACAGATTATTCAAAGTTGATACACTCAGTAACACATTTGTGTGACTTTGTTTTTTTTCTTCATTGAAAAGTATTCCAGTTTGTGTGTGTGGCTGCTTGTGCTAGTCCGGAATCATGCCGACTTTATAGTGATAGCCCACTGAAATACCATACAGCAGTTTAACGTGAATACCCCACTCAGATACAGTACAATGACTTCGAGCCGACCACTCCTTGTTTTAAATCCTTAAATACTGCTGAGCGCCAGGCAGGGTAACAACAAGTATAATATTTTAACGTCTTTTGGTGTGACGTGAATGGGGATCGAATCCCGGACCACTTGGGGCGGTCTAGCTAATGTAGAAGGCAAGTCCAAAGTGATGCAGGCCGCAGAGGTTTACCTAAGAGCACGGGTAGGGTGCTGACAAAGCAAGGGTCATTATATGGGCGAAGTTGGAATATCGAACCCTCCTGACATGGCAACTCTGCACAATGAATTATTCTATTTGAAGACAGTTCCAGGGCGTTTAGAAAGTTGATACCGAAGCTAAATTACACTAAAAAGTTTATTAGTATTATAAGTTAGTACTACTGCTGCTGCCCTGGTACTGCCACTACTACAATTACTACCACTACTACTACTACAACTACTACTACTACTACTACTACTACTACTACTACTACTACTACTACTACTACTACTACTACTACTTCTACTACTACTACTTCTACTACTACTACTTCTACTACTACCACTACTACTACTACTACCACTACTACTACTACTACCACTACTACTACTACTGCTGCTGCTGGTGCGGCTGCTGCTGCAGCTCTACTACTACCACTACTACTAATCGTTTGATTGACTATCTGGAAACATCAATAATAATAGCGGGTGTCACGGATCGCCAGGTGATACGCGTATCGACTTGAGATTCGGAATTAGTTTTTTGTCGGGCATCTCAACTTATTTAAATAACCTAACGCTTCGCCAAAATGTCAAAGGAATACTTCCCATAAACAGCTCCAACAGTACCTTCAACCAGTGGCACAGCAACATTTGTACCATCAACCAGTGGAATAGCAACATTTGTACCATCAACCAGCGGCACAGCAACATTTGTACCATCAACCAGTGGCACATCAACATTTGTACCATCAACCAGTGGCACAGCAACATTTGTACCATCAACCAGTGGCACAGCAACATTTGTACCATCAACCAGCGGCACAGCAACATTTGTACCATCAACCAGTGGCACAGCAACATTTGTACCATCAACCAGCGGCATAGCAACATTTGTACCATCAACCAGTGGCACAGCAACATTTGTACCATCAACCAGTGGCACAGCAACATTTTTACCATCAACCAGCGGCACAGCAACATCTGAACCATCAACCAGCGGCATAGCAACATCTGAACCATCAACCAGCGGCATAGCAACATCTGAACCATCAACCAGCGGCACAGCAACAACTGAACCATCAACCAAGCGCAAAGGAACCTTTCCACTTTCCCCGAGTAACTCAGAAAATGTGTTCCCGTCATTGAGCGGCTCTACACCTCTTTCTCCATCTTTTAGTAAGACATATATTGTTTTTAAGTATATCAACCTTTACAAGTCTTCAAATCTGAACAGAAGTGCTGTAAAACTGCTGATGGAATCATCAATCTCACCAAAGTTTTCTTTTTTCTTTTACTGATATTGCCACATTTTAGCCACTGGTGATACTAAGAATATGTTGAACATAGTTCTTTTACCTGGGGAGGCCAACCGGACCTTGACAAATTGACGAACCTATATGTGTGCTGAGTACCCACCCACAAATAAAACGGGCCTGTAACGTCGGTGTGAATCATCATATCGTAACGTCCACGTCAACATCGAAAGTAGCCGAAAGTTTTGGGTCAATCAAACATTACAAGATTGATCTCACAAAAGACATGAGTGGGTCGCTTCCTGTGTTCTACGTGTGAACAGCACCTAGGATATGCTGAAACTGAGTTAACAATGTGTATCGAAAGCAACAGTTTCAATACTGGTTGAAATAGTCGGAACCAAAGTAGTCCATCTCGCAATTTGCATGTGTAACCGTCATTCGGCTGATAATTCAATATGTTTAGTATCGTACATTGTAAACAAACATGTATGAACTTCACTTGGATCGATTTCCTCACTTGGTAGCTGACACGTTTGTCGCTCATTGTAATCTCTAACTGTATATTTTCAGGCTCTACCACTGTGTCAACCACTACCTCGGCAACCACAGGTACGGTATCATGACTAGTAATCTTTTAATGTTCAATTAGTAATACAGTCTTTATCGATTAACCTGAATGGTAACGCCGACGTCCACTGATATGGGATTGGAATTTGTTTCATAATAGCAGACATTTAGTTATATACGTATCCTACTTTATTGACAGTTATTATTCTATTGTCTCATCATCCATTCTCACCATGTGTGTATGGATAGAAGTAAGTCGTGTTTTGGAGTTGAGGGTGGTGAAATGTACGACTAGTCTTTAGATGAGCTAATTATAGATTTAAAAATAATTCGCTGCCATAGAGACAAAAACAGCAATCAATGCTGGTCTATATTGGTATATTCATTATATTTCCAGGCACCTGCAGACATGAGACTATCCAAGATTCAAAAGTGGAAGAAAGTGAAAACGCCTCACTTGTGACCATACCCACTAAATCCAATGAAATAATCGGTGATGTGAACCTCGGTTTCACTGGAACCGCAAGGGTGTTTACAGTTCAAGACACACGTGTACGTACTAGCCTCTGCAACTGTTAGGTAACAATAACCACAAATTATAGGGAAACAATGGCCTTTGTTTTATTGCACCAAGGGTTCAGTTGGTACGCCTGGCGAAACAGTTTAGCGCGAATGTAATTGAAAAAAATATTTTGATAACAGTTGTCCTTAGCTAAGATGTGATGTTTGCCAGCTGATCTGACGCGTAAAGCATGTAAACGTTGCGTATGCAACACACCACTCACGACGAATTAAAACATAATATACACGCAATGAAAGTTCCACCAATATTATGAATACAACCTTTTTTTAAATGTTACGATTGTTGTCCCATTTTATCGACAAGGAATTACTCTTTTCACACCATGTTCTGGTTTCTATGCAATGGATTTGTGACAGGTGCACTGATTTTTAAATTTCGTGCCCCAAATAGCAAGGGTTTCCAGGTGTATATTCATTGTCATTAGTAGATTTTCTTTTGAAAGGTTGGCACAACACCACAATTAATTGTACCGAATCTGGGGCAAGTAAAACTGAATAAATATAAATGCAATTATTTTCCGAAAATAAACTTCCCGAGAAACATGGACAATTTCTGAGAGAGAAAGAAATGAAAGAACGTCAGAACACGGTAATCCTGGATAGGAAAAGGCCGTAACGCGATTTAAAAATCTGAGGTAGAAGCAGGCAGACTAGGCACCGTCTCGATCGTTTGAATTGCGCAGCGCGCCAGACACTGGGATTCCGTTCAAGTTCAGTGATGGGAATGCCGTGGCGGAATTATATATTTTGTCTTTTTTATCGTCTGTTTTTCTATTTCCGTTTTTCTCAATTGATTAGGTATTAAAATACCCATAGTAGAGACTATAAGTTTACTTGCCCTTTAAAATCTTATTCCAACCACAATCGTATGAGGGGAGAATCATCGTAAGAGTCAGGTTACTTAATTTCCAGGCAACTAAAGCAGAATAGTCGGTTATATATAGCTTCATGTTACAGTGTTCTCATTTTGATATTTCACATTTGAAGTACTTGCATTTCAACTAACACAAATTTCAGAAATTTCAGCATTTACTTAAACAGTTGTTACGCTGCTTCTTAAAATGTTGGGAGTTACAAATGTGAAACTATGTGATAAATGTGGACAGCCTTATAGATATTTAGAAAAGCAAGAAAGTGATGCTACTCTGTTCTACCACCTAATTCAGAAGACCTTATACAATAGAATTAGATTTTAAAGCGGAATATTTCGCCTAAAATGTGTCTACTTTTTCAGTCGTCACCACAACAAAGCGTCACTTTGGATGTGACAGAGGAAATGAAAAATGAATTTTCTCTGGTGGCTGATGGAACCCTTGGGACATTCACGATCACTGAAACAGGTAAACTTCTTTTGACGCAAGACGTACATGATAATGTTTGATGTGGGGATATATGTGATAATGGCTGAGGATAAATATATGGTGAGAGGATTAATAATAGTTCCATCGATGGATAAATGTACACATGTTTTGAAGGAGGATACATGCAATAATGAATTAAATAACACAATGGATTGAATTGAGAAATATATAATATGTGATCGCTATCGGTTTTGCATTAAATGGCGGTTATGCCTAGAACTGGAGTAGATCGATAATGGGTGTTATAGATACAAATATATTTCTATTTTGCTCAAGTAAATTTAGGGCATGTAACAGATACAACCATTTGTCACCAGTATAAATCCGTGTTGCATGGATTGTTCTAAACTACTTCGGGTCCAAATATTTATATTTACTTCACAAGGGCGAATACAAATATAGAAAATACAACTAGTAGTAACAAACGAATGTATTTTATATTAATATGGATACACATCCTCGGGAACGGTTTAACGATATGCAAATTTCAATCCATTGCAGTTGGTGGTGCACCTGTTCCCTTCACTGTCGACATCACTACTACCAAGCGTGTAATGGTCACTGTCAAGAATGCTGATCCATCCAAAGAGTTAACAATTGTATATTCCGAACCTCTTGATCAACTAACGATTGCAAGAGGACTTGGTGAATTAGATGTGAGTAATGCGAAATGTTTGTTTAGGGTTTCCTTAACTATTTTGATTGAGAAAAGTTGGACATATCCACATTTATACACATTTATGTTACTGATCAGTCGTTAAATTTAATCCAGACCCTGCCTCATCGCTAACTCAAGATAACTCAGTTCATGCTCAACCTATTTCTTCACCACTCTTGATATGGAAAAAATATCTTCTTGTCTATAAAAAATCTTTTTATTTTTGTAGACTTCAAAACCCATAACAATCAACCAGGCGACCTCATTCATCATTGTGCTTTTTGCGCCAAAAGTGGACTCCGCCACTTTGAAATCTGCCATAAACGTTGGTGGCATCAGTTATTGTGGCGAGGAAACAACAGGTAAGTTCCAGATTTCATGAATCTTTCAACAATAAAAGGAAACATGATAAAAAAAAACATGCTCGTTAGGACCTTGTGACCGTTACCAACCGTTTATTCTTATGTACATCATAACTAACTAGATCTCGGTGATTTTAAAAAGGAGACTTAAGACATATGCCTTTTTGGTACACAATAATTTACAAAATGAGGAAAACGTAGAAAGTTGTCGGAAATATTTTTATGATTGATCTTTATTTTCTTCGATCATAGTGCTTTTTGAACTGAAAACAACTTTCTACACAGAGTTATGTTTCTATCATATTGTAAATGAAGTACCCACTTTGTCAATTTGTTACTGTCGAGCTTGAGAGTGTATGTGTCTGCCTGCATTTGCCAGTACCACTTCAAATATAGCTCTGCAATAATGGTTTACCCAAATAGGCTCTACTATCATGACTGTTATTCTACTGTCATCTGTTATTACTTCTACTGTACAGCAGTATAAAGTGACTGCCTAGCTGCAAACAGTTTTGAAAGAGACGGTGATTTCAACTCGATTGGGTTACGCTTGGTGATGATACCCAGTTCATCCATGATGTCGCCTATCAAATACTCGTCACGATATGGCTGAAATATTGCTAATGTGACCATACACTTTAACTCACTCACTCACTCACTATCAAATGCTTATCAAAAGCACGCCACCTTAAAAAATCGTGTTTTTATCATTTCATTCTCCTTCATCTATACCCCTTTTCACATGGGTGGACCTAATTATCTCTTTGCACTATATTAAAAATAAACGTTGTCAGTTTCTTACTATTATGCGCAAACACAAGCAGATAAAACTGTTGCGGACATGTTCTCATGTAGGAGTTAGACAAGTATCTGTGCAACTACCGTTACTATTAATTAACTGTTAAGTTGAACAAATATCAGGAACAACTCCCAGTGGTACAACAACATCTGGAACAACAACCAGTGGTACAACAACAACGTCTGGAACAACAACCAGTGGTACAACAACAACATTGGGGACAACCACCAGTGGAACAACAACAACATCTGGAACAACAACCAGTGGTACAACCACATCTGGAACAACAACCAGTGGTACAACAACATCTGGAACAACAACCAGTGGTACAACAACATCTGGAACAACAATCAGTGGTACAACAACCACATCTGGAACAACAACCAGTGGTACAACAACATCTGGAACAACAACTAGTGGTACAACAACGTCTGGAACAACAACCAGTGGTACAACAACCACATCTGGAACAACAACCAGTGGTACAACCACATCTGGAACAACAATCAGTGGTACAACAACCACATCTGGAACAACAACCAGTGGTACAACAACGTCTGGAACAACAACCAGTGGTACAACAACGTCTGGAACAACAACCAGTGGTACAACAATATCTGGAACAACAACCAGTGGTACAACAACCACATCTGGAACAACAACCAGTGGTACAACAACGTCTGGAACAACAACCAGTGGTACAACAACCACATCTGGAACAACAACCAGTGGTACAACCACATCTGGAACAACAACCAGTGGTACAACCACATCTGGAACAACAATCAGTGGTACAACAACCACATCTGGAACAACAACCAGTGGTACAACAACATCTGGAACAACAACCAGTGGTACAACAACCACATCTGGAACAACAATCAGTGGTACAACAACCACATCTGGAACAACAACCAGTGGTACAACAACAACGTCTGGAACAACAACCAGTGGTACAACAACATCTGGAACAACAACAAGTGGTACAACAACATCTGGAACAACAACCAGTGGTACAACAACCACATCTGGAACAACAACCAGTGGTACAACCACATCTGGAACCACAACCAGTGGTACAACAACAACATCTGGAACAACAACCAGTGGCATAACAACCACATCTGGAACAACAACCAGTGGTACAACAACATCTGGAACAACAACCAGTGGTACAACAACAACTGGAACAACAACCAGTGGTACAACAACAACGTCTGGAACAACAACCAGTGGCACAACAACATCTGGAACAACAACCAGTGGTACAACAACAACTGGAACAACAACCAGTGGTACAACAACATCTGGAACAACAACCAGTGGTACAACAACATCTGGAACAACAACCAGTGGTACAACAACAACATCTGGAACAACAACCAGTGGTACAACAACAACGTCTGGAACAACAACCAGTGGTACAACAACCACATCTGGAACAACAACCAGTGGCACAACAACATCTGGAACAACAACCAGTGGTACAACAACAACATCAGGAACAACAACCAGTGGTACTACAACATCTGGAACAACAACCAGTGGTACAACAACCACATCTGGAACAACAACCAGTGGCACAACAACATCTGGAACAACCACCAGTGGTACAACAACCACATCTGGAACAACAACCAGTGGTACAACAACATCTGGAACAACAACAAGTGGTACAACAACGTCTGGAACAACAACCAGTGGTACAACAGCAACGTCTGGAACAACAACCAGTGGTACAACAGCAACATCTGGAACAACAACCAGTGGTACAACAACATCTGGAACAACAACCAGTGGTACAACAACATCAGGAACAACAACCAGTGGTACAACAACATCTGGAACAACAACCAGTGGTACAACAACAACATCTGGAACAACAACCAGTGGTACAACAACAACATCTGGAACAACAACAAGTGGTACAACAACGTCTGGAACAACAACCAGTGGTACAACAACAACATCTGGAACAACAACCAGTGGTACAACAACATCAGGAACAACAACCAGTGGTACAACAACAACATCTGGAACAACAACCAGTGGTACAACAGCAACATCTGGAACAACAACCAGTGGTACAACAACATCTGGAACAACAACCAGTGGTAGAACAACAACATCTGGAACAACAACCAGTGGTACAACAGCAACGTCTGGAACAACAACCAGTGGTACAACCACATCTGGAACAACAACCAGTGGTACAACAACATTAGGAACAACTACCAGTGGTACAACAACTACATCTGGAACATCAACCAGTGGTACAACAACAACGTCTGGAACAACAACCAGTGGTACAGCAACAACATCTGGAACAACAACCAGTGGTACAACAACATCTGAAACAACAACCAGTGGTACAACATTATCTGGAACAACAACCAGTGGTACAACCACATCTGGAACAACAACCAGTGGTACAACAACATTAGGAACAACTACCAGTGGTACAACAACTACATCTGGAACAACAACCAGTGGTACAACAACAACATCTGGAACAACAACCAGTGGTACAACAACTACATCTGGAACAACAACCAGTGGTACAACAGCAACGTCTGGAACAACAATCAGTGGTACAACAACACCATCTGGAACAACAACCAGTGGTACAGCAACAACATCTGGAACAACAACCAGTGGTACAACAACATCTGAAACAACAACCAGTGGTACAACATTATCTGGAACAACAACCAGTGGTACAACCACATCTGGAACAACAACCAGTGGTACAACAACATTAGGAACAACTACCAGTGGTACAACAACTACATCTGGAACAACAACCAGTGGTACAACAACAACATCTGGAACAAGAACCAGTGGTACAACAACTACATCTGGAACAACAACCAGTGGTACAACAGCAACGTCTGGAACAACAATCAGTGGTACAACAACAACGTCTGGAACAACAACCAGTGGTACAGCAACAACATCTGGAACAACAACCAGTGGTACAACAACATCTGGAACAACTACCAGTGGTACAACAACATCTGGAACAACAACCAGTGGTACAACAACCAGTGGTACAACAACAACCAGTGGTACAACAACAACGTCTGGAACAACAACCAGTGGTAAAGCAACAACATCTGGAACAACAACCAGTGGTACAACAACATCTGGAACAACTACCAGTGGTACAACAACATCTGGAACAACTACCAGTGGTACAACAACATCTGGAACAAGAACCAGTGGTACAACAACAACGTCTGGAACAACAACCAGTGGTACAGCAACAACATCTGGAACAACAACCAGTGGTACAACAACATCTGGAACAACAACCAGTGGTACAACAACATCTGGAACAACAACCAGTGGTACAACAACATCTGGAACAACAACCAGTGGTACATCAACATATGGAACAACAACCAGTGGTACAACAACAACATCTGGAACAACAACCAGTGGTACAACAAGATCAGGAACAACAACCAGTGGTACAACAACCACATCTGGAACAACAACCAGTGGTACAACAACCACATCTGGAACAACCACCAGTGGTACAACAAGATCAGGAACAACCACCAGTGGTACAACAACATCTGGAACAACTACCATTGGTACAACAACATCTGGAACAACAACCAGTGGTACAACAACATCTGGAACATCTACCAGTGGTACAACAACATCTGGAACAACTACCAGTGGTATTGTTATTTTCACTGGTCGAATTTGTAGATAATTTAAAACGACTAAATAGAGTATGAACCATTTTATCTTTCTACTGATATTCCGTTTTGCTTCACCGCACATGCCTTGTAGAATGAATACAAACATCAGAATATGCTCAGATTGTGCTATAGGACATGTACGTGACTGACATTTTAAAATTAGGTACAACAACTTCCGGAACAACAACGAGCGCAACAACGTCAGGAACAACAACCAGTGCAACAACGTCAGGAACAACAACCAGTGCAACAACGTCAGGAACAACAACCAGCGCTACAACGTCAGGAACAACAAGTGCTACAACCAGCGGTACAACAACAATCTGCATGTTATAACTCAAGACTATAACTTATGCATAGTATATATCTATTGTTTATAAAAAGAAAATAATGATGAAAGTTGGAAAGAGGAAATCTATTCGGTTATGTGTGAACCTGAACAAAGTCCACAGATATGTATTTCGGATGACGATGTTGATGAGTATGACGATGGTTGTTGACATTTTCCTTTTTTGAATACCAATTCTTTTTTCATCTTTATTACAGGCACGACCACAGGTACTGTACCGCAAGTATTAAACATGCATGCACACACTAAGCAGGACAATATATCAAAAGAATGTTGTGTCTATACATTTGTGGGATGGAATATCCGTATAATTGAGATAAATATCCGTAACTGCAAATACAATAGTTCTCTTTGTTTTACCTGATTACGTATTACAATGTTAAGTTCAAAGTTTGAAAACATAACGTTTACGTTAAGATTGTATGTCATAATCTCTTACACTTTTTCAGGAACAACATCAACTTCTACCACCACTACTACTACGGGTAAGATATGTAATCTGTAATGTTACTTGGGTATCTCAGTAAACATTAGGAATAGCCTTTCGTCACTGACGTCGCTGAGAGGGATCTTCCTGCTTCAAGCATGCCACAGACCCATGATAATCATGGCATATTCCCTCTAAGTGGTACCAAACGTTAAGTTTTGTTTTGTTTGTATTGCCAATACAGAACACCTTCCATGAAAACTATGTTTTCGCGTTTTTGTCCACATGATCGTACAAATGCATGTCACGTGCATGGTTACATATACTGTGTAAACATAATATACCCCGCATTGATCTGAATTTCAAATACTAAAAGTCTATCATTTCATTTTGGTTAGATATTTATATTTATACATACAATAGTCTATAAATATGGAGGGGCGGTGGGGTAGCCTAGTGGTTAAAGCGTTCGCTAATCACGCCGGAGACCCGGGTACGATTCTCCTCCACATGTGTACAATGTGTGAAGCCCATTTCTGGTGTCCCTCACAGTGATATTGGTGAAACGGCGTAAAACAATGCGCACTCACCCTTTCACCCACTCACTATAAATCGGGACGACATGTTGAAGAAGCAGCTCAAATCCCACCATGTATGTCGCAGATTTGTCCCAGGGTTAGCTTTGTACATTGACTAAATTCTGGATGAATAGTATTCGGAAGTATATATAACGACCTTAAATACACGGAGATCGATGAAAACCGACTCCAGAGTGTCTAGCCAGTGCCCTTTCCGCATAGTAACTTTCTCCCTTTTACATTTGCTTCAACAGAAGGTACAGGTCTGTTCGGAACAACGGAAGCTCCAACATCCACAACCACAGCCACAACTAGACCACATTTTACAGGTATATTACAAAACTTACTAAAGGAGGAAGGTTAACCGATGACCTGTTGATTTACGCAACAAATCGGTTTCCAACATTAGCATTATGTGAAAAGTGATTTTACGTCATCATTGCTATAGTTATAAGCAGATGAAACAGCCTATTCTCTCAGGCTGTTCGGAAAACCGTTCGTAAATTTATTACATTGTACGCTTTTTCTCACAAAGAGAAGTGTATCTACCAAACGGGATGAGTGAAAATAAATTATTCAAATGAGCCCCCCTCTGAAGAAAGTGGAATAATATTTTAAAACTTTAAAAAGTTTCATTTAATGTTCTGAAAATGAGCCCCTTTCAAATTCCTTGTAGTACACTAGCGACCATTAACTTTATATCGTCATTTGGTGAGTAAATGGTTTAATTACAAAGTCCTTCTTGACACACATGCGATATATTAAAGTTTACAACAAATGGAATGTCTCTGAAATGTTTGCAAATAAAGGAGACTTATCATTTATTAACACTTAATGGTGTGTCATTTCTTTAAGCTTTTAAATGTTTTATTGACATTTATAACTTCTAAGTTTCTTATTTTGCAGTCGAAACGACAACCACTTCAGGTAATATATAATTTTAGCATCCCTTAAACGCATCATCATCATCATCATAAGATTTTAACTTTTGATGACCAGTATTCCAGTTTGTGAAGATATATTGTCAGTCCTGAATAAATTGGCTTTTAGAATAACACAAAGTAAGCCTTTGCACCACCAATAACATTTTATGATTCCGAAGCGAATTGATGAATTGGTAAATTTATATATCCCTTGTACGTTGACATGTAGAATTCGTACAGACCCCATAGGTAGGCGTCATGTATTATCGTGGTTTCATGACATCCTGACTGTCTGTCTCTTCCAGGAACTACATCGTCTACAACGGAAGGTAAGTCAGACAGTAACGTGTACTTACGTTCTTATAAGATAACTCGAATTGTGATGGGTTTGACGAATGTTTTAGCATTTCTACAAAATCTTAACGCCATTACAAACGATACTTAATGATTTAGTGGTCATAAAGTTTGCATAGCATTGAGTGACATCAAAAAGCACTTTTGTGACAGATGATAGAAACATAAAAACACACTTTACGGTTTGTATTGTCTGTCTTGCATGCTTGCCGTTAGAGGCGACTATGCTTTCCGTTAGAGGCGACTATGCTTTCCGTTAGAGGCGACTATGCTTTCCGTTAGAGGCGACTATGCTTGCCGTTAGAGGCGACAATGCTTGCCGTTGGAGGCGACTGTGCTTGTCGTAAGAGGCGACTAACGGGTTCGGGTGGTCAGGCTCGCTGACTTGGTTGATGCATGTCGTCGTATCTCAATTGCTTAGATCGATGCTCGTGATGTCAGTCACTGGATTGTTTGGTCCAGACTCGATTTTTTACACAACGCCGTCATGTAGTTGATATTGCTGAGAGCGGCGTTAAACAACAAACAAACATATACTTATGGTAAGGATGCCTGTTGGATATTAACGTATGTTCGTTTTTGTTTTTCTTGTTTATGATTTAGTGCTATTCTAGAAATATGCCGGTAAGCTACAAAGCCTCGTGGTCTTCTTGTTTTTCTTTTGAAGTGTGTGAAAAGAAGACCGTTCCCGCAGATGACATATTAGTGGACGCCAACGACAAACCCCAGTTAGGAGTTTCCTTCACAGCTACCCCTGGTGTCAATGGCGACATTCTACTGAACCTCAGAATCAACACAAAAACAGGAAATGTTGCAGAAATTTTCTCACTCGCAATAACCGCCACAAACACGGAAAAGGTCGTGTTGCAAACATCGAACGAGGACGGGTCATCCGAAATAATCAAGGTCAGTATACTACTACTACTACTACTACTACTACTACTACTACTACTACTACTTCTACTGGGGACAGTCGGGTAGCCTAGTGGTGGAAGCGTTCGCTTGTCACGCCGAAGACCCGGGTTCGATTCCCGACATGGGTACAATGCGTGTGGCCATTTCTGGTGTCCCCCTGCCGTGCCAAATATTGCCAAAAGCGGGGTAAAGCCATACTCACTCACTGCTGCTGCTACTACATTACAACTACTACTACAACTACAACTACCACTACTACTCCTCCTCCTCCTCCTGCTACTACTACTACTACTACTACTACTACTACTACTACTACTACTGCTGCTGCTGCTACTACTACTACTACTACTACTATTGCTGCTGCTGCTGCTACTACTACTACTACTACTACTACTACTACTCCTACTGCTACTACTACTACTACTACTACTCCTACTCCTACTCCTCCTCCTGCTTCTTCTCCTACTACTACTACTACTACTGCTACTACTACCACTACAACTACTACTACTACTACTACTACTACTACTTCACAGACATGCAGACACCAACACTCACACACGCACGCACGCACGCGCGCTCGTAACTTAAGTTTCATTTACTAAAACTATCCTTTGGGCATAAAAGAGTAGGACGTTGCAGACCAGGCATTAATCAGGATGAAAACACAAATAGGTATTTTTACATTGTTAACACAAACTTCAGCCTGTTTATATCCAACTTTGACATGCTGCCTCGAGCTGGTCATGGTTTTCATTGGAGTGTTATTATCCATGTCGCTTAACTCGGTTTCAGGAGGCTACGGCAGAAGGAAACAAAGCCGTTTTCAATTTACCAGACGGACTTGAACTCGTATCTACAATAACACTTCAAGTCAAGATAACGCTGAGACAAGGAGCTTCGTCCTCGGAGATACAGAACATTGAATCCGAGGCTTGTTATGAGGCGCCAGGTGAAGACACATTTTTCCCGACATTTTTATTTCAAATATCAAGTGCATTTCATGTTGCATGAGACAGGGGTTTAAGTATTATTCCCTCATACAATAGTGACATCAGTAACTATTCTGCTATTGAAGGCCAATATCTTTAATGTCAGAGTAATAGGCTATGCACTATAAATCGGCATCAGTCCGGACTAGTACAAGCAGTCTCACACACACACGTGCATGCACGTCGCTATATAAGTGCAATAATCTTGGACGCGACGTTAAAACCAATTTCACCTCACCTACATCATTGCGATATCAAGGTCAGTTGTACATCATGTCACAGTAACATGGAAGCCTATTATCCTTACTGTCATATTTAATCGAGTTTTTGGATCTAGTTATCCAACTGACACGACCTCTGGTGCATTTCACATCTAAACTGTTATAATGTTCCCTTTACTAAGAAGTCATTGCTATATCATACCTAAGGGACAGATTATTTGTAATTGTTGGGGCGTTCTTAATAATAATGATAACATTTTCAAACATTGTTTTGTAGACATTTAATTGTTTTATTTCCCCTTTCAAATGGTCCGCACCTAATTCCTATTTGCTCTCACTTGTGAGAAAGTGAGAAACTGTTATGCTTCATGCACTGGGAATGCACACAGAACGTCTACATATAAAATGAAAACATGTTTACTTCAGAAACAACAGCCACAACCACATCTGGAACAACCACATCCGGAACAACCACAAGCGGAACAACCACAAGCGGAACAACCACATCCGGAACAACTACAAGCGGAACAACCACATCCGGAACAACAACAGGTAAACAATATCTGAGCAATGGTTATTTCACATATCGGTATGTTAAACACGTAGCATGCCATCTTATAAACACTATGGTATTGATTTTACGTTATACAAAAACATTTAGACATGGTCGCATAGAGAATTTAACATGTTTATGTTAAGTCTCCTCCCTTACAGTAGATTAGTGTTCTACTTGTGTTCTCTTGCAGGTTAGCATTATAGCCCACTTTCTAACTCTGACCTCGGGTAGCCTTGTGGTGAAAGCTTTCGCTCGTCAGGCCGAAGAACCGGGTTCGATTCCCGACATGGGTACAATGAGTGGTGATCCCCGCCGTGATATTGCTGGAATATTGCTCAAAACGGCGTAAAACCAAACTCACTCACTACTCTGGTCTCTACGTGTGACCTCTCGTAGCTGGTTTTCAGAGAATAATAAAATTACATTATATGTAATCCAAAAAAAAATTCGAACATGCAAAACAATAAACACATATATTCGCATGATACAGCCGTTCACCGAAGTGAAGAAGTAGGTAAAACTGGTTTCTAATAAACATTGAATAAATTCCGAAAAACGTAAAACAATCCAGAGACTACAATCAGTGGAACAACGACAACTGGAACAACAATTAGTGCAACAACATCTGGAACAACTACAAGTGGTACAACAACGTCAGGAACAACCACAAGTGGAACAACCACATCTGGAACAACAAGCAGTGGTACAACAACCACATCTGGAACAACAACCAGTGGTACAACAACAACATCTGGAACAACAATCAGTGGTACATCAACATCTCGAACAACAACCAGTGGTACAACAACATCTGGAACAACAACCAGTGGTACAACAACATCTGGAACAACAACCAGTGGTACAACAACAACATCTGGAACAACAACCAGTGGTACAACAACATCTGGAACAACAACCAGTGGTACAACAACAACATCTGGAACAACAACCAGTGGTACAACAACATCTGGAACAACAACCAGTGGTACAACAGCAACATCTGGAACAACAACCAGTGGTACAACAACATCTGGAACAACAACCAGTGGTACAACAACAACATCTGGAACAACAACCAGTGGTACAACAGCAACGTCTGGAACAACAACCAGTGGTACAACAACAACATCTGGAACAACAATCAGTGGTACATCAACATCTGGAACAACAACCAGTGGTACAACAGCAACATCTGGAACAACAACCAGTGGTACAACAACATCTGGAACAACAACCAGTGGTACAACAACCACATCTGGAACAACAACCAGTGGTACAACAACCACATCTGGGACAACAACCAGTGGTACAACAACAACATCTGGAACAACAACCAGTGGTACAACAACATCTGGAACAACAACCAGTGGTACAACAACCACATCTGGAACAACAACCAGTGGTACAACAACGTCAGGAACAACCACAAGTGGAACAACAACATCTGGAACAACAACCAGTGGTACAACAACCACATCTGGAAAAACAACCAGTGGTACAACCACATCTGGAACAACAACCAGTGGTACAACAACATCTGGAACAACAACCAGTGGTACAACAACCACAGCTGGAACAACAACCAGTGGTACAACAGCAACATCTGGAACAACAACCAGTGGTACAACAACATCTGGAACAACAACCAGTGGTACAACAACATCTGGAACAACAACCAGTGGTACAACAACCACAGCTGGAACAACAACCAGTGGTACAACAGCAACATCTGGAACAACAACCAGTGGTACAACAACATCTGGAACAACAACCAGTGGTACAACAACGTCTGGAACAACAACCAGTGGTACAACAACATCTGGAACAACAACCAGTGGTACAACAACAACATCTGGAACAACAACCAGTGGTACAACAACCACATCTGGAACAACAACCAGTGGTACAACAACATCTGGAACAACAACCAGTGGTACAACAACCACAGCTGGAACAACAACCAGTGGTACAACAGCAACATCTGGAACAACAACCAGTGGTACAACAACATCTGGAACAACAACCAGTGGTACAACAACATCTGGAACAACAACCAGTGGTACAACAACCACATCTGGAACAACAACCAGTGGTACAACAACATCTGGAACAACAACCAGTGGTACAACAACCACAGCTGGAACAACAACCAGTGGTACAACAACAACATCTGGAACAACAACCACTGGTACAACAACATCTGGAACAACAATCAGTGGTACGACAACATCTGGAACAACAACCAGTGGTACAACAACCACATCTGCAACAACAACCAGTGGTACAACAACATCTGGAACAACAACCAGTGGTACAACAACCACAGCTGGAACAACAACCAGTGGAACAACAGAAACATCTGGAACAACAACCAGTGGTACAACAACATCTGGAACAACAACCAGTGGTACAACAACATCTGGAACAACAACCAGTGGTACAACAACCACATCTGAAACAACAACCAGTGGTACAACAACAACATCTGGAACAACAACCAGTGGTACAACAACATCTGGAACAACAACCAGTGGTACAACAACAACATCTGGAACAACAACCAGTGGTACAACAGCAACATCTGGAACAACAACCAGTGGTACAACAACATCTGGAACAACAATCAGTGGTACAACAGCAACATCTGGAACAACAACCAGTGGTACAACAACATCTGGAACAACAACCAGTGGTACAACAGCAACATCTGGAACAACAACCAGTGGTACAACAACCACATCTGGAACAACAACCAGTGGTACAACAACATCTGGAACAACAACCAGTGGTACAACAACATCTGCAACAACAACAAGTGGTACAACAACCACAGCTGGAACAACAACCAGTGGTACAACAGCAACATCTGGAACAACAACCAGTGGTACAACAACATCTGGAACAACAACCAGTGGTACAACAACATCTGGAACAACAACCAGTGGTACAACAACCACATCTGGAACAACAACCAGTGGTACACCGACAACTGAAACAACGACCAGTGGTACAAAAATCACAGCTGGAACAACAACCAGTGGTACAACAACATCTGGAACAACAACCAGTGGTACAACAACCACATTTGGGACACCAACCAGTGGCACAACAACTTCTGGAACAACAACCAGTGGTACAACCACATCTGGAACAGTAACCAGTGGTACAACAACCACATCTGGAACAATAACCAGTGGTACAACAACATCTGGAACAACAACCAGTGGTACAACAACCACATCTGGAACAACAACCAGAGGTACAACAACATCTGGAACAACCACCAGTGGTACAACAAGCACATCTGGAACAACAACCAGTGGTACAACAACATCTGGAACAACAACCAGTGGTACAACAACATCTGGAACAACAACCAGTGGTACAACAACATCTGGATCAACAACCAGTGGTACAACAACCACATCTGGGACACCAACCAGTGGCACAACAACTTCTGGAACAACAACCAGTGGTACAACCACATCTGGAACAACAACCAGTGGTACAACAACCACATCTGGAACAACAACCAGTGGTACAACAACAACATCTGGAACAACAACCAGTGGTACAACAACAACGTCTGGAACAACAACCAGTGGTACAACAACATCTGGAACAACAACCAGTGGTACAACAACATCTGGAACAACAACCAGTGGTACAACAGCAACATCTGGAACAACAACCAGTGGTACAACAACATCTGGAACAACAACCAGTGGTACAACAACCACATCTGGAACAACAACCAGTGGAACAACAGCAACATCTGGAACAACAACCAGTGGTACAACAACAACGTCTGGAACAACAACAAGTGGTACAACAAGCACAGCTGGGACAACAACCAGTGGTACAACAGCAACATCTGGAACAACAACCAGTGGTACAAGAACATCTGGAACAACAACCAGTGGTACAACAGCAACATCTGGAACAACAACCAGTGGTACAACAACCACATCTGGAACAATAACCAGTGGTACAACTACAACATCTGGAACAACAACCAGTGGTACAACAACCACATCTGGAACAACAACCAGTGGTACACCGACATCTGGAACAACGACCAGTGGTACAACTACACCATCTGGAACAACAACCAGTGGTACAACAACATCTGGAACAACAACCAGTGGTACAACAACATCTGGAACAACAACCAGTGGTACAACAACAACATCTGGAACAACAACCAGTGGTACAACAACAACATCTGGAACAACAACCAGTGGTACAACAACATCTGGCACAACAAGTAGTGGTACAACAACATCTGGAACAACAACCAGTGGTACAACAACCACATCTGGAACAACAACCAGTGGTACAACAACCACATCTGGAACAACAACCAGTGGTACAACAGCAACATCTGGAACAACAACCAGTGGTACAACAACCACATCTGGAACAACAACCAGTGGTACAACAGCAACATCTGGAACAACAACCAGTGGTACAACAACATCTGGAACAACAACCAGTGGTACAACAACATCTGGATCAACAACCAGTGGTACAACAACCACATCTGGGACACCAACCAGTGGCACAACAACTTCTGGAACAACAACCAGTGGTACAACCACATCTGGAACAACAACCAGTGGTACAACAACCACATCTGGAACAACAACCAGTGGTACAACAACGTCAGGAACAACCACAAGTGGAACAACCACATCTGGAACAACAACCAGTGGTACAAGAACCACATCTGGAACAACAACCAGTGGTACAACAGCAACATCTGGAACAACAACCAGTGGTACAACAGCAACATCTGGAACAACAACCAGTGGTACAACAACAACGTCTGGAACAACAACCAGTGGTACAACAACCACAGCTGGAACAACAACCAGTGGTACAACAACATCTGGAACAACAACCAGTGGTACAACAACATCTGGAACAACAACCAGTGGTACAACGACATCTGGAACAACCACCAGTGGTACAACAACCACATCTGGAACAACAA